CCTCCCACCCTGCCGTCTCTCCACTCTCCACCCGCGACATCTCGTGAGGTACCGACGCCATCCTCAAGCTCACGCCCTCCTCGCCAGCCCCGCTCGATACAGGAAGAGGCTCAGCGGCAACAGAAGGGAAGGGAGGAAGATCAGCTTCTGCTAAATTGTCAGAAGTGTTTGGAGGAAGTTGACCGAGCTTGGAGAGGAGGGGAAGACGAGGGGAAATGCGAGGAAGAGAGAGGAAGAGTAAAAGTCCGACAAGACAAAGCAATCAGACAGCCAGGGAGAAGAAGATGAGGAGGGGAGGGGATCGAGAAAGAGAGAAGGAGGAGGAGGAGGAAGAGAGAAGGGGGGGAGGGGGGGGGCAACCGTTTCTCAGATACATCGAGGAGCTTGCGGATGCTATTCCTCCACACTCCAAGGAGCAGGTTCATCTCTTCAACCAGGTCGCTCTCTTCCTTCTCATCCCCAAGTAGCTGAAGCGACTGCGATACCCCGCAGCTGTCCATCTTCTTCAAGCTCGCCAGCATCCCCGTCCTGCCCAGAGTCAGAGGACGATGCAAGAAGAACAAAGAGAAGAAGTTAAGGAAGAGGGGGGGGGAGGGGGGGCGGACACGAAGGAACCCTGAGGAGGAGTGGCGGGAGGCAGTGGAAGAGTAAGGGAACAGGGAGAAGAAGCGGGAAGGAGGAGGCGAGGAAAGCTCGTCGTGAAACATGTCATCTAACCTGACAGAGGCAAGGAGTTCATGGTAATGGATGAGCCTGTCATGCAGGAAGTGACATTTGTCGCTGGTGATGAGCAGCTGGTCTTGGAGCCCATTGATCAGCTTCTCCGTGCTTACATTCTTTTCATTGTCCTCCGAGTTGGCAAAGATGTTCATGATGCAAGCGTTGAGCTCCTCCTTTTCTCTCCTCAACTCCTCACACCTCGCCTCCGCGTCCCTCACGGCCTCCTCCCACGTCATCTTCGTCCCCTTGAGGTTCGAGAAGATGGTAGTGATCCGCTCCAGCGACGTATCGCCGATCTTGACTGTCATTGTCTTGATTGTCTCGTCAAACGTCTTGAGCTTGTCCTTCAACGTCTGCCTCCTCGGTGTCTCGACCTCGGGGTCGTACAGTCGGGCGATCTCGTCCTTAAGCCGCTCGTACTTGTCGTAGAACTTGTTCATCTGCTCCTTCAGCAGGTGGTTAAGCCGAACCTCTTGCCTTCTCTTCTCCAGCTCCCTGGCATAGTTCTCCCTTGCCGCCTCCAACAGCAGCCGCTGCTGCTTCAGCTCGTTGGTGAGCAGGTCTCTCTGCATGTTGGGAATCTCGAGCTTGAAGGATTCTCTCAGGTTGTGCAGGTCTTGAGAGTGGTTCCTGCCCCTTCTTGTCAGATTGCCAAGCATCCTCAAAATTTTCAAATACTTGACTGTCTTCTTCAACGTTTCAAGGTCTTTTTCGTCCACATCGATGAAGTTTTTCAACCTCTGGATCATGTGCTCGAGAGATTTCTTCTCCTGCTCAGCAAGAGGCGCAAACGTGTCAACACGACCGAGCGGCACGCACATTATCTCACCAGACACTCTTTTCTCGTTGCATCCTGTATTTTTCTGATCGACATGTTGAGGTCCGTGATGCCAGCATCTAGAATCTTGCTATGTTCTTGAAGGTCCGAGCCTTGTCCCTCCTTGAGCTTCAACTGTGCGTGAGAATTTGCAAGCTTCTTCTCCCGACTGATCCGGAGAGCCTTCGAGTCGTTGTACTCCCTCACCAGGGACAAAACTTTCGCCTCCAACTTGTGCTTGAGCGCCTCAACATCCTCCGGACTGGAGACGGAGGATGCGGATATCATTTTGAGCTCCTCTGGGACTTCGTTCTCTGCCGCAAGGTCTTGCCTGCCCTCAAGTCAGCAGCAGCAGATTACTGGTAGAGACGACACACCTGATCTTCTCGAGCTCAATCTCCGTGTAGGTGTTCTTCTTCCAATCCAAGAAAGATTTCTGAAACCACTGTCTCACTAGATAACACCTCACCAAACTCCCTTTCAGGACCTGCTTTTCTTGCAGTACTGTGTTGAACTTGCGAGAGGGAGGGTTGTACAGGCTATCCCTCCAACTGCAGCATGCTTCAATACACACAAGCTGACAGAACTGACTTGCACATACAGAGTTCCTGTGTTGACAACGAGCCCAGCGTCCTTTGCCTTGTCACGCAGTCGACTAAGTGAGGAGGTGAGCTTCTTTTCGAGGTCAGGGTCAGATCCAAATCCATGGGTATCTTTCATGTCCGTGACTTTGCTGAACAGCAACAAGTCACTCTACAGCAAGTCGATCAAGTCGGAGAACCTAATCTTCTTCTTCTTAGATTTCTGCTTCAATATCTGTGGGATGGTAGGGAGTATCAGATTCGCTTTCTGAACATCTGCCATTGCACTCAGCCAACGTCCTCTTTTGCTTCACCACACAAACGGCAAGGACCTGAAAACTCGTTCTCGTCAGGACTTGAAGGTTTTTCCTCCTGTGGTGATTTGGACGAAGCTTCCCACGACTTGTTCATTGCACTCATTCTTCTGATCAACTTCTCCCCAGCTTCTCTCCCTTCAGGAGTGAAAAGCATGAAGGTGCGGGACTGGGGGTCGGCAAATCCCAAACTCGTTCGGGACCTCTGCACGCGCTTCCCCGCTGAAAGATGTGTCAGAGGCTGCAACAAGACACGCTATCCAAGTTGGTGACGCTGCGAGCCAACGTGGGGGTAGCAGGGGAAAAGGTAGTAGAAGAGGAGTTAGTAGAGAGCAAAAATACAATGTTAGCAGAGAAGGAGAACGAGGTGGTAGTAGAAGAGGAATAGAAAGAGGGGGGGGGGGAAAAAAGAGGAAAAAGGGGGGGAAGAGGAGGGAAATGAGGAACGGGGGGTGGGAGGAGGATGATATGAGAAATTGGCCGGGGAGGGTTGGGGAAGGAGAAATCCAAAGATCTTAAACCGAAATTGTGGGTTGAGGGGGACGGTGAAGGCCATCTTAAACTCGCGCGTCG